AGATACATAAGAGACTTCTCGTCCCTCAACCTTCATACTAATAATAAGTGGCGGGGTTCGTGGCTCTTAGAAAAGTTAGGAAGGTTAGTTAGCGGATTTCAGGTCTGCCTGCAAAGACAATGAGGTCACCCTACTCTAGAAGGGGGGGTCCTCCCACAATTAAGCAAGCCAGAAGGCATTTTTAGGTTAAAAGTAACTCACAGAAACAAGTGAGTAGGAAATTTGGTACTAGTTTCAGCCAGTCACTCGCACTTGTGCAATAAAGACCCCGATGATCTTCAATTTACCTGAGCCTTATTATACCATCATTATAATATGATGCACATGCCCAGAAGTTCATTAATATCATTATAACAGACTGAATTCTGGGAACGAATATGCGCAGAAAACATGATGAATCACTGGGTCCTGTCAATCTTAGTTGTCAATCAACAAATCCCACTCCTCTAAGAAAAGTAACCACCACAGCAAATAAGGATAAAAACCCCAAAGGCTTTGCTACCAGGCCTTTGAGGCATGGTTATCTTGCTCAGGGCCGCTTCCACGTCGTGAAGTGCCCTTTCCCTTCTAATAAAGCTTTTCTTTTCTGTTGTACTTCAGTGTCTTGCTCATTTCTTTGCCAGAGACATCAAAAACCTGGACAACATGCCGGGAGAGGATCCCCACTCTCTGGTAATAGTTTGAGAACTGCTGAAATAGTTCATAAGTGCTCTGAAGTTTAAAAAAAACAAAGAAGAAAAACAAACCTTTTACTTATGTTCAATTCTGCGAATATTCTTAGCAACTAAAGGCATTGTTACCAGAGAGTGGGGATCCTGGTTCTTGATGTTTCAAACATAGAGTTGAGCAAGACACCGAAATACAGTAGAAAAGTTTTATTAGAAGGGAAAGTACACTTCCAGAAGTGCAAACTGGCCAGAGCAAGAGAAGCCTGGCTCAATGGATGAAACAAAGCCTTTGGGGTTTTTAATCCCTATTTGCTGTGGGTGGTTACTTTTCTTAGAAGGGTGGGCTTCCTTGATTGACAACTAAGATTGACAGTGCTCAGTGATTTATCATGTTGCTTTCTGCGCATGTTTGTTTCCAGAATTCAGTCTGTTACCATGCTATTAATGAACTTCCAGGCATATGCATTATATTATAATGATGGTGTAATGAGATTCAGGTGAGTTGAAGGTCATTGGGGTCTTTATTGCGCAGGTGCGATTGACTGGCTGAAACTGGTACCTAATTCTCTGTTTACTTGTTTCTTTGTATGAGTTTAAAAAATGCCTTCTGCCTTGCTTAATTGTGGGCGGATTAGGGCGGACCCCTACTAGGATAAAATGACCTCAGTGCCTTTGCAGGCAGACCTGAAACCCCCTAACTAACTTTCCTGCCTAACTCTCTTCTAAGAGTCATGAACCCCCTTATTATTAGTGTGGATGTTGAGGGATGGGAAGTCTCTTTTTCCTTATCT